TATATCTTATATTTCAGATGTCTGTGATGTGCCTCCCACCTTCCAGTCCCTGATCCACTCCTGTACAGTGAGATATGACTGTATCATATATCTTATATTTCAGATGTCTGTGATGTGCCTCCCACCTTCCAGTCCCTGATCCACTCCTGTACAGTGAGATATGAATGGGGCACTGATGACAGCAGGGACTATAACACCTCTTGGACACCGCTGGTCAACACAACTGACCACCCCACTGACCAGTGGACATACCAGTCTGCTTTCAAGCTGAGGTCACTTCCATTTGCTGGAAAACATGGCACTTACAATGGTAAACTATTTCTCAATGTTACCAGCCATTTCATATAACTGCTTAAGACAAACTGCTGTCTTGAATTTAACAAATGAGCAGAGGTTTATTTATTTGCAATATTTATTTATTTATTTATTTTTTGTTAATGTAATTTGATAATGTTCTTTCTTTACATGCATTGCTTTCATAATCTTAACCTGTGAAGATATTAACTATAACACACTCTCACTCAGGTTCACATGAAATAAATATTGGTTTGTATTTCAAACAAGCAGTCTTGTCGAAAAAAAGAACTCAGCAACTTTGCTGAATTTGTTGACTGTCAAAATAGTTTTGTTAAGAAAAAAAGGCCGATTTAATGTTTTACGAGTTGGAATAATTAAATTATCAACCATATCTACATATGGAACTAGAGGGAAACCCTTTTTTTTGATTCAAGTAAATAAATAAATAAATAAACATTCTCTCTTTTTCTCTAGCACAGGGCTAACAGCCTGTCTCTAGTACTGTATGACATTTCAGGTGGAGGATATGTGAAACTCCTTGGTGACACCAGAGATAAAAGCCTTGCAATTATCGCAGACCTGCAGGAGTCCAAGTGGATAGACCAGAGGACGCGTGCAGTATTTCTGGAGTTCACCCTGTACAATCCCCAGGTGAACCTGTTCAGTGTGGGACAGTTCCTGCTGGAGTTCCACCCCACTGGGGCTGTGTTCCCTTTCTATCAGATCTTTACTTGTAAATTTTACCAATATGGGTAAGTTATTACTGGGGTTGTGTTCCCTTTCTATCAAATCTTTACCTGTAAATTTTACCAATATGGGTAAGTTATTTCTGGGGTTGTGTTCCCTTTCTATCAAATCTTTACTTGTAAATTTTACCAATATGGGTAAGTTATTACTGGAGCCGTGTTTCCTTTCTATCAAATCTTTACTTGTAAATTTTACCAATATGGGTAAGTTATTACTGGAGCCGTGTTTCCTTTCTATCAGATCTTTACTTGTAAATTTTACCAATATGGGTAAGTTACCACTGGGGCTGTGTTCCCTTTCACTAGTGGGCCTGATTTGATCTTAAAGTGCAATTTCAGTCCAACACTAGACTGAACCGGTCTTAAAAATTAAGGAGGGACTCTTAATTTAGTCTTAAGACTAAAAACAAACTTAAACTGCAGTGAGTAAGACTATAATTGGTCTAAATTCAACTGAAGTGGCAAAGCAATTATCTCCCCACACACATTCAGATCAAACTTGGACTTACTCTCCAGCCAGACAGGTGAAGGTAGCAATCAAGTAGAGGGCCATTGTGTGAGTAGCAAAGGGTGGTCTCTTGGCAAGTAAGTGCTAATTGCCTAATTGATAAGGGTGATTCAGATACTGTCTCAGATAATTTCTAAAGCAAGGAAAGACTTGGTTGTGGAAGTACTAGTGCAGCATACTTTTAAAATTGTTTTGAAGGAAGTCTTCCTTTCTTTGTTTTCTCTTTCTTTGATTTTGATTTATATCTAAAGGGTGAATCAGATACTATCTCAGATAATTTCTAAAGCAGGGAAAATGTAGCATACATTTAACAATTTTTCTTTATTAAAAGGTTTTGACATTAAGTATTTGTTATTGTCCCAAGAAATGTGAATGCAAAGCAGTGAAAAACAAGGTACAGTTATTTTAATTGTAAAGCAAGTTTCCTTTTATTTGTACCAAATAATCATATACAATTCACAAAAAAAAATTGAAAATACAAAATTACTTTTTTACTTTTAAAACATGGTAACACTTTAATTACAGGCACATCAGTTTTCACAATTATAAATTAAATCGTATCAATTTCACATTTATCTTGATCCTTAAATTCTTATGATATGGCAAGTTCCCTGCTGTATAATTTCCTTGATGCGTCTGTCCTAAAAAATCTCTTTTAAAATGTCCAAAGTTCTGTCCATCTCTTCCTTGGAAATGTAATTTTTGTTACGAAAACATGATACTACTGAGTTGATGTGGCACTTGCCCAAATAGTCCATTCCTTCGATTAACCACTCAGTGAGGACTTGCCCTCTTTTCTTCAGATATTTCACACTCACTTGATCATTGTCCACCCTTATGACTTCTGCGGCATCAAATGACTTGGGTCCAAGACCAATCGCAACTACATCACCAAGGGCAAAGAGAGAAAGAAAAAAGAAAGACTTCCTTCAAAGGCAAAAATCAAGAAATACATGTATATTGTTTTGAATATGAAATTCTAACATTAAATTCCTGCGGTATATTGTGATTTTAAATAAAATTAAAACTGTACATTTTTATGTTAGATTGAAGTGAATTTTCAATTGTTTGTGACAAATAAAAGGCCATGTCTAATTTAAAAATAAATGTACCTTGTTTGTTAATGCTATATTCCTAAGCTCTCCTGTCAAAACATTAAAAGTATGCTGCACTAGTACTTCCACAAGTCTTTCCTTGCTTTAGAAATTATCTGAGACAGTATCTGAATCACCCTTATCAATTAGGCAATTAGCACTTACTTGCCAAGAGACCACCCTTTGCTACTCACACAATGGCCCTCTACTTGACTGCTACCTTCACCTGTCTGGCTGGAGAGTAAGTCCAAGTTTGATCTGAATGTGTGTGGGGAGATAATTGCTTTGCCACTTCAGTTGAATTTAGACCAATTATAGTCTTACTCACTGCAATTTAAGTTTGTTTTTAGTCTTAAGACTAAATTAAGAGTCCCTCCTTAATTTTTAAGACCGGTTCAGTCTAGTGTTGGACTGAAATTGCACTTTAAGATCAAATCAGGCCCACTAGTGTTTCCATCAGGTCTTTACTTGTAAATTTTACCAATATAATTATTTGGCTTTGATGTAGCAAAGACAAAACTGTTTGGTTTTACATAAATACGGAATAGTGTAGTTAAGTCCTCATAATACTATGATAAGGTTTATTTGGGTGCAAGCTGAGGTACTGTGGAAGTATTCTATTCCCACGTACTTGAATGAAGTCAAAAGTAAAAGATATGTTGGCCATCATTAGCTGTGTTATCTTCCAGAGTTTCTCAATGGAAAGTAAAAGAGATAAACATGAAAGAAGTTATTTTGGCTAGTAATCTGTAATAAATATCTGATTCAAATTAAATAAAGCAACCTTTCTGATTTTGGAACCGAGACGGCAGCTCTGTTGTTTCTGACTCACCGGCATCCTACACTGATAATACATATTCCTTTATTGTTATTTCAGGAATGGTTTGGAAATCTTTGTCGCAGTTTGTGAAGTTATGTTTATCCTGTTTATTCTGACCTCCACATATAGAGAGTTCAGTAAATTCAGAAACACTGGTTCTAAGGAATACTTCTCAGATCCCTGGAGTTATGTAGAGGTGGCAATTGTCTGCCTGGGATACTCAGCTATTGGTCTGTTTTTTCAACGTTTAGTCACAGTAAACTTCACCATTGCCAGTTTCCATGAACATGGCAGAGAAGAATTTGTGAACTTTTTTCCAGCAGCATTCTGGGACTACATCCTGGGCTACACCTTGGCTGCCATGCTGGTGCTGACAGTGCTCAAGGTTTTCAAACTGCTACGGTTTAATGTCAGCATGAACATGTTGTCTGCCACTTTGAAGAAATCTTGGAAGCCTACACTACATTTTTATCTAGTTCTAGCTCTCCTCATGATGGCCTATTCCTTCTTTGGGCAATGTGCTTTTGGTCANCTACACCTTGGCTGCCATGCTGGTGCTGACAGTGCTCAAGGTTTTCAAACTGCTACGGTTTAATGTCAGCATGAACATGTTGTCTGCCACTTTGAAGAAATCTTGGAAGCCTACACTACATTTTTATCTAGTTCTAGTTGTCCTCATGATGGCCTATTCCTTCTTTGGGCAATGTGCTTTTGGTCACTACATCGAACACTTCAAGTCCTTATTGGACTCCTTACAGACTTTGTTCACTCTGATCATGGGAGGATTTGAGTTTGCAATTCTGGGAGACTCAAACCGTGTCATTGGTATCATGTTTCTGATCACCTTTGCCATGATAGTCCAGGTGTCGCTGATCAATATTTTCATTGCCATTATAAACGAATCATTCAGATGTGTTCAGAAGACCACCAAGGAGACGTCCAATGAGATGGAGATGGTGGACTTTATGTGGACGAGATTACTGGTGATTCTTGGTCTCCACACAGGGGCAGGGGTCACCATTCCTTCCACTATTGACCCAAAGATACTGCAACAACTGGACAGGAAGCAAAATTAGAACGTTTCATCTGATATAGATTTTAAAATCAGACGATTTAAGTTTTTTTACTACAATATGTTTATAAAGACATTAAATGCTCCATCAATGAAAACAAGGTGATACTATTTCAAAGCCAGTTTTGTATGTTAACCAATAATGTGGGACTGCGCAGGATTGGAACATGATGCCAATGTGTTAAATAGCAGACTATGACAGATATGAATTAAGTAGCAGTTGTACATGCAATTATGACACTTTAATTGCCTCAAATAGGATGCTATTGCAAAATTGTGTAAATACATGTATAAATTTTAAAGGAAGTCCTACAGGTACTTTTAAAATACTGATACATGTATCTTAAACAATGTTTAAGAATTTTCCATTTGAAAACGTAAGAAAAGCAAAGCTTCATCTTGTACATAAAAGCATTTTAAAGTGTCAGATGTCATTTGGGGTCACAGGTCACCCAGGGTTCAGAGGTCACATTCTGTGTACACAGATAGCAATTAGTTAAAGGGATAATAAGTCTTCGTATGAGATCTATATTTTACAATAAAAACATTGTGAGTAACTCATATAAATATAATATATTCTGTTTTACCACAAAAACAGCAGTTATAGCTATTATTCTGATATCTGAGCTTGTCTTTAGACCAAGTGACCTCCATTGATGGCTATACTCTGTTAAAATCTCTTAAGAGATCTTAACAAAAAAAACCAAACTTTTTAGAAAAAAAAAACAGGGACTAACTTTGAATGTAAAAATGGATTCATTAACCATTGGTAAGTATGGGAAAATTGTTGTTTACTCCAGGAAAATTCATTTATTGGCTGAAACAAAGAGTTATTATCCCTTTAAGATCTTAAAATATGTTCTCAGTGCAGTTAATGCTCAACTCTGGAAATAAATAATTTCTTATCAAACCAGCATTATCAGTTTTTAATAAAGGTTGTTATTCTAGATTGTTCTGCTATTTTGTTGACATTTGTCGACATTTCTAATCAAACCAGCATCATCAGTTTTCAATAAAGGTTATTATTATGCTAGATTGTTTTGCAATTTTGTCGACATTTGTCCCATAACTGCTAAACCATATTTTTGTTTCACTTTAAATAAACTGAGTGGCTTTTTTTTTTTTTTTTTTTTTTTTTTTGGTAAAGAGGCAGGTTGTTTTTAAAAATTTGTTTTTTTCGTTTAATTTTTTTGGCAACTTTTTTTTTTTTTTTTTTTTTTTTTTTTTCCCAATTTTGGTTTTTCAGTGGCTTTTTTATCCNCAGCATTCTGGGACTACATCCTGGGATACACCTTGGCTGCCATGCTGGTGCTAACAGTGCTCAAGGTTTTCAAACTGCTACAGTTTAATGTCAGCATGAACATGTTGTCTGCCACTTTGAAGAAATCTTGGAAGCCTACACTACATTTTTATCTAGTTCTAGTTGTCCTCATGATGGCCTATTCCTTCTTTGGGCAATGTGCTTTTGGTCACTACATCGAACACTTCAAGTCCTTATTGGACTCCTTACAGACTTTGTTCACTCTGATCATGGGAGGATTTGAGTTTGCAATTCTGGGAGACTCAAACCGTGTCATTGGTATCATGTTTCTGATCACCTTTGCCATGATAGTCCAGGTGTCGCTGATCAATATTTTCATTGCCATTATAAACGAATCATTCAGATGTGTTCAGAAGACCACCAATGAGACGTCCAGTGAGCTGGAGATGGTGGACTTTATGTGGACGAGATTACTGGTGATTCTTGGTCTCCACACAGGGGCCGGGGTCACCATTCCTTCCACTATTGACCCAAAGATACTGCAACAACTGGACAGGAAGCAAAATTAGAACGTTTCATCTGATATAGATTTTAAAATCAGACGATTTAAGTTTTTTTACTACAATATGTTTATAAAGACATTAAATGCTCCATCAATGAAAACAAGGTGATACTATTTCAAGGCCAGTTTTGTATGTTAACCAATAATGTGGGACTGTGCAGGATTGGAACATGATGCCAATGTGTTAAATAGCAGACTATGACAGATATGAATTAAGTAGCAGTTGTACATGCAATTATGACACTTTAATTATGCCTCAAATAGGATGCTATTGCAAAATTGTGTAAATACATGTATAAATTTTAAAGGAAGTCCTACAGGTACTTTTAAAATACTGATACATGTATCTTAAACAATGTTTAAGAATTTTCCATTTGAAAACGTAAGAAAAGCAAAGCTTCATCTTGTACATAAAAGCATTTTAAAGTGTCAGATGTCATTTGGGGTCACAGGTCACCCAGGGTTCAGAGGTCACATTCTGTGTACACAGATAGCAATTAGTTAAAGGGATAATAAGTCTTCGTATGAGATCTATATTTTACAATAAAAACATTGTGAATAACTCATATAAATATAATATATTCTGTTTTACCACAAAAACGGCAGTTATAGCTATTATTCTGATATCTGAGCTTGTCTTTAGACCAAGTGACCTCCATTGATGGCTATACTCTGTTAAAATCTCTTAAGAGATCTTAACAAAAAAAACCAAACTTTTTAGAAAAAAAAAACAGGGACTAACTTTGAATGTAAAAATGGATTCATTAACCATTGGTAAGTATGGGAAAATTGTTGTTTACTCCAGGAAAATTCATTTATTGGCCGAATTGAAGAGTTATTATCCCTTGAAGATCTTAAAATATGTTCTCAGTGCAGTTAATGCTCAACTCTGGAAATAAATCATTTCTTATCAAACCAGCATTATCAGTTTTTAATAAAGGTTATTATTCTAGATTGTTCTGCTATTTTGTTGACATTTGTCAACATTTCTAATCAAACCAGCATTATCAGTTTTCAATAAAGGTTATTATTATGCTAGATTGTTTTGCAATTTTGTCGACATTTGTCCCATAACTGCCAAACCATATTTTTGTTTTACTTTAAATAAACTGAGTGGCTTTTTTTTTTGGTAAAGAGGCAGGTTGCTTTCAAAAATTGGTATGATCGTTTAATATTTATGGCAACTTTTTTTTTTTTTACTATATATATTTTTTCACACATTTGGACTTTCAGTGGCTTTTATATCCCGTGGAATTGGATCACTTGCTAGTTTTTCAATGTCCAGGTTACCTGTAGTATGTAATGTAAGTGGGCAAGAGTTACAGTACATCAAAATTGACCAAAACATTATTTGGTGCACTTTTTTCTGCGTAATATCTGAACACTTGTCAGCTTTACTTTCTGTAGTGTGTCTGTATATTTGCCAGCTTTGCTTTCTGTATGGTGTCTGTACATTTGTCAGCTTTGCTTTCTGTATGGTGTCTGTATATTTGTCAGCTTTGCTTTCTGTATGGTGTCTGTATATTTGTCAGCTTTGCTTTCTGTATGGTGTCTGTATATTTGCCAGCTTTGCTGGGGGGGGGGGAACACCCCTTTTTGCTGGGTAAAGGATCCGCTCTGGGTAAATTTTATCTAGGCAAACTAAGGCTTCATGACAAAAGAACCACCCTTTTACAATTACTGGCCTATGTACATAAGCACAAACCAGCACAACTTTTAATATTTGCGTCTTTATTTCCCCATGACATTTTGAACATTGTGTCATTTTAGGGTCTTGTGTACTTTTAAAAATTGTATTACAGAAAGTTTTTTTTTCTTTAAATTAAGACATGATTATTGAACTTTGCATTTTAACTAAGGGTAAATATACAGTCTTATACAGGCTTTGGGAAACTAGTTCTCTAAATAAAATCATGAAAACGCTTCTATGAACCGTTCTATAATTTATTACACTGCAGTTTACAAAAGCTCAACAGTGGCGTGATCAGCAGGCTGTATGACATGCTACTCATTTCCTTCACTTTCAGTATGTATGACATGGGCAACCAGTGACCAGAATGAAGCCGATTCTGTACATAATATAGAATTGTTCAAAATTCAATGAAAATACAAATGAGTCTTCCTTATTTATGTCAAATTTCACCACTGAAATAAATCAATAAGCGCAAAGATGAACAACTGGACTGTAAGCCAATGTGCCCAGGCAAGGGAAGCCAGTACTCAAATTCTGGTTAGCTTTTGATAAAAAACCCAAGTTCCAGCTGAGACTCTTCTGTTTGTGTAGCCATCAAAAAAGTTTGTCTCAGCTTTGACACACGGCTGTTGACACACGGCTGTTGACATACGTACAGTGATCAGAGACAGCAGGGAGCTGGGAGAATTTCTTTCTATCATCTGGAATTCTGAGGCTTTCTTAACTAATTACTGTCCATGTGTTTTTTATTGATATAGCCACTGTCACTGGGGACTTGTCTGGAGCCCACTTCTTTCCCCTTGGACTTTTTGTATCTTAAAACAGTGTCATTTTTTCCATGAATCCAGTCTGCAGCTACTGCCCTCTGGTGAGAGATGCTCACACTGCCCTCTGGTGAGAGGTTCTTACAATTCACTTCCATTCTAAAATACTTCAATGCACGAAGTCCACTTTTACAGAGAAGAGTGGAATTTCATAGTCCATTGTTTTCTTACATGTGGACATCTACCATTCTGAGCCTTGTTTTATGTTCAACCCTTCGTTGTTGACAGTGTTATTCTGTGCTATCTACAGAAGCCAATGGAGGATCTGCACTCAGTTACAACATGTTCATTTAAACATTTGTCCCATGGACGGTCTGCGTCTGCCAACACAGAGGATCAAAGCACAGACACAATGTGGTCACTTCCGCAGACAGTAGCTGTGTTCCAGGTAATCATCAACATCGTCATCTCCACTGCAGTCGACTGTCAACATCATTAATTAGGTGACTCCATAATTAGGCTTCCATACCCTATGGTCCTCCATGGTACCGGCAAGCTCACTGATGTGCTCCAATAAGAAATGTGTGGGCGCCCAGAGCAGAAATCTATTTGCCACTTCTTTGTGATCAACTTTCGGTATTTTGCCATAGAGCTCCGTGTTTGGCACCTTGTCCAGCCCAAATGATGAATATAAATTGTAATACTGATGAGGTAAGCAACCTTCATGTCCAAACCTTCTTCATGTCTCAGTCCACTTTCTCCAAGACAGACGGGAAATGGACAATCCTCAGCTCATTGCCATAGTCACTGATGATAACAGAGTTGCCAACGGTGACCAGATTTCTAACAAAGACGGAGTTGTCCCAGTTTCCTAGTCTGACTGTGCGCAAGTGCTGTCCCTTGGAGAGATCCCACAGTACAATACAACCCTGGAAACATGGGATACAGAATATTATACATTAACCCTAACACAGTACGATACAACCCTGGAAACATGGGACACAGAATATCA